CTCTCTCTCTCTCTCTCTCTCTCTCTCTCTCTCTCTCTCTCTCTCTCGATGTTTATTTGTAAATTTATTCTGTGCTCGTTTGATCTGTGCTTCCCACCTGGATTTTTGCGCAACATCCTTTTTTTATACATTTTTTTCCACGGGTACCATACATACGTCAAGCGTGCAACGAAATTGCAACATTTGCTTCCAAATATGACGTCACAATTCGCCGTCGATGATGGAATGAATAAATGAAAATCTAAATAAGGTTCGTTTGCGAAAGGATGGGGGTGCAGTGGATGCATACACGGGCAAATGTATATTTCAAAATGTGATTAAGAACAGACACGGGCACTTTTGAAATTATATTATTTTAAACATTATGTCAAATAACACATTACTATATTTTATTATTATTATTATTTGAGATAATTGTTTGGAATAATTGTGAAATTGTTCTTCAAAATTATATCGGGTGAATAATAATATTATTATTATTATTATTATTTCAATAATATCGTTAACTTTAAAATGAATAAAATAACGTATTAATTCGCAATAAAAAATAAGAGAACGAAATATTTGAAATGAGTATTATTTTTATTATTGTTATTATATATTATTATTCGAGAATAAACAAATTTTTATATGACACTACCGGTCCAAAATAAATTATTTCAAATAGTAATTTTTCATTTCCAATTCAGTGAAAATTCGCCCGAGTCTGCTTAACACTTTGCCGGCCGCTGTCACGTATGCGTGAGTGTTTTTTCTCCAGCGGCGGTGCTTAATTTCCATGTTTGTATAGTGAGATACATTGTTGCAGAGCAATGTTTGACGAACATTGGCAACTGATTTCCCCTCCCAATTTACCAGATTGTGTTTTATTGACATCTTTAAATACTCTGTCGGTCGCATCGAAGCGGGTGCTTGTTTGGTTAGTTTGACACTGTTTTTCGCTGCCTTCAAATGTCGGAAACTTACGTTAAATTTATTAAAAATTATAAAGTATCCTTTGAAATGTCATACAATGAAGAAATATATGCTGATCCGCTATCAAACGTGGAGAATAGTTCCGATAACACTAGAACTTGCGTGAAACTCACCGACTCGGCAAAGTGTTAAGAGGGACCTGAAATTTTTAGCCTACCACCACGTTTTATTGCAATTGGTCGACGAAAAACTCGTTTGAGTTGCGCTGTCTAATAATTTTCACGTGGAAATGGGGGCTGGAGTCTCAAAAGTCATTCAATAAAGTGCTCATACTCGGCTCGCCGACAGAGACCAGAATGGTGGCAAACGAGTTTTAAAGGACCGCGCCGTGAACTACCTATGCGTTTCTTAGAATCCTACTACCTCGCGAGCCTCGCAAGAGGAACAATGTGACGCTGGGAGTGCATTGCTCTTTGAAGTGAAGGAGCGAATGCGGCAAGGTTAGCCGGCAGCAGCAGCGCCTGCCTTCCTCGTCGTTTTAATCGCGTTCGATCATTACAATCGTGGGCGACGTACATATTTGGAAGCATTTCTCATGGTACGACACATGACGACACCTTACTACATGTCGCGTGTGCCCATATTACATACACAAGGAATGATTATTATTTTTTTCAAAGGCTTGCCCGCAGCCTTTTCGATTTTTCACTTTCTTTCGTCGTCGCGGCTGGCGATCGACCAATTAGAACTTACTAATGTCTTCTTTCAGGGACCCATCGGGATGGACGGACCAAAGGGTGAGCAGGTACGTTGACATTATCCCTTATTGGTTGGGAACTTTGTACTGTAATTACTGGGCTGCTGATGTTTATGCATTTATGGCAGATGAAAGTGTGAAGAGATCTATGGGAACGTGCATAAATGAAAACATATTTGGCGCAGAAATTAATTTTGCGTTTTTACACTCAATACTTTCTAGTTGTACTTTACGTAAAAATATTGTTTATATAGATTTTTTAAATACCTTGGAAGTACATAAAAAAATTGCTGCAAAATTTGAGCTCTCAGTTTTAAAGTTAACACGTGCACCAAACCTGTGAAAATTATAAATGAAAAGTATATGGAATTTTTTTTTATAACTTTGATAAAAATAGATGAAATAGTTAGAAATTTGGCAAAGTTATACGATAATAGACTAGTTCTTCCCCTATATATCAGCCCAGTAAATATGAAGCTATCTAGTAGTATTATGTTAAATGTTTAAAATATGAACTTATTTATTATTTTTTATAAATTGTTATTTATAAATGAGTATTGACAAGTTACAGTTTTTTCTTCTATCTATGAAAATATGAATTTGCATTATCATCCGCAGTCTAGTAATTACATTGTGAGTAACGTTTATTGTTTCCTGGAAGGAGAACAGTTCTGGTAGGAAGTATTAATATTGTCACTTCGTTGTAAATTTATTGTTAATTTGGAATAAAATTGCGAATTATAGTGTATTCATATTTTTTTTATTGGGGCTTCTTCCTTTCTTCGAAATAGTAAAAGAAATATTATTTTTAGTCGAATTATTTTCTGATAAAGAAATTTCTTTGTGAACAATTTTGTAAATTATATTAGTAGAAATGAGTCTACAACAAATTTTGTTAAAATCAATTTGATGGTAAACTTTATTATACATTATTATACTTTATAATTAATAAACTTTATCGTAATGCATTTTTTTCATAGGAAAGAATATTATTTTTAGTGGAATTATTTTGCCGTAAAGAAATTTGGTTGTGGAAAATTGTATAATGAATTTCTGTAGGAAAGAGTTCACAATATATATATATATCGTAATCTCGAAAAGTGTACGGTCAAAGATCTGATGGAAAGCAATTCCATTAAAGTTTTCTACGATTATATTCTGCTCAATTTCGTGATGGAAGTGTGACGAAAGTCGAGTCAATCAATGAAACGGTTTTGCTGGTGGTAAAAGTTTCAGTTATGAGAACCCCTACTCTCTCACCCCCGCCGTTTCGGTTACTCGTAGCGAAGGATTTGCAACATTTTATCATTTCACAACTGTCGAAAAATGTTGTCAGTTTTGTCGATACTAAGAAGCATGGCGAGCAAGCAAACTGGTGGCGTCACTACATATGATATGGCTGCGTTACCGTGTGGCGCCATTATAGTTTTCGTGTTCGCCGTGCGCTGAAACGATAGTGATGCCTAATTTTAATATAGAATGTCAATCATATTAATAGATATAACAAATGACACGTACCTCGAATAAAAATAGATAATACAAAATTCTGCAAATTAAGTAGTCTATATTTTCTGTAGGAACGTAAAGAGCGACTGAACAAAAATTTTGATCTGCGTTAGACGAAAATAGTAGGAATTATAGAGAAACCACAAACACGCGCATTATATGAATAGTAATAGATTGTCTCAAAAGTTTCTTTCGTTTTACTAGTATATAATACGTATACTACATTTTATGTTTTATGTTAGAATACTGACAAGGAAAGCTTTTTAGGTGTCCACCTCCGATTGTTTTGATTTCCGGATATTTTTAAAAGGTCCAAAGGTCCAAAGGTCCAAAAATAATAGCTATGTATTTTTTTATATTGGTCCGTTTTCATATTTAGGGGATGAAAAGTTTCAGCTGCAATAGGCTATCTCAGAAACTACCATAGATAGAAGAAAACTTTTTAAGAAACAGTTTTATGGTTTTCTATCTGCATATGAAATCTGGCCCCACATTTTGTAAAAAATAATTTGTTTATGATAATAGCCTATTGCAGCTGAAACTTTAGGGGGTCGTTTCACCCTCTTCTAAATATGAAAACGGGCATATTTAAAAAAATAGGTATATCTTATTTTTCGGTCCTTTAAAACATATCTACAAATCTAAACCTTGTGAGTTCCTTGTGAGTGGTGCGAGATCCATTTTGCTCGATTACTGTTATAACGTTATCTTCTAAGAGATTAGGTTGTCTATTTATATAAACATTGACAAACAAAACAGCTGGATGCAAGTCACAAAAGAGACTTTTGGGATAATCTAATACTTTGAAGAAGTATGTACATGATATATTTTAATTTCATTTCAAAGTGGAATCGAGTTCAGTACGCTTAAAATATATTTGAATGCAATTTCTGAGGGCTATTTTATTTAAATATTCATTACAAGAACAAAGATCCAGTAAGATATACTCGATCCCATCGGTACTTCCATTGAATGCTGCCGAACCTCGAGCATTCGCACAGGTGATTGAAGACAGTAAGAGATGGAGGGATTCCCTTTTACGAGAAAACTGATGGCAGGTCTCCCAAATCTATTCTTTCGCCGACCTCGATTCCAGTTACCGAAATTTATTTTTCGAAGAGGTTAGTTTGGAAAAGTTGAGAAGAGTTATAGATCGATTTTATAATAGTTAAAGTGAGGCTTGTGATAACGAAAAACGGAATATAGGCATCGCTAATTGAAAACGTACGTCTAAAAATGAGTGAATCAAATCATCACTGGCGTCAGTAATTAGTATATTAACAAAATAAAAGATAGATACACTTCGGTGGCACGTTGATTAGTATTGTTTAATAGTACAGTCGTATCTTATTTTTTTTGGCGCTAGTAAAGTGGCACCATAATATGATACATTACTGGCGCTAGTAAAATAAAAAGCAAGTGTACTTTGCATGCGCTGTTATTAGTGGCGCTAAATATTACATCTGCTTCGTAGTTAGCTGGCGCCATTAAAATGAAGCAATAATTACTGACGCCAGTAATAAACAGTCAATATCGTATATCCCAAATGAATGACTATTTAAATGTACCAAAATGACGAGTAGGTATATCTGTTTAAACTAGAGTTACACATAGACTGCGGATGTATATGCAAATTCATATTTTCACAAATTTAGAAAAAGAATTGAAATTGAAATGAAAGTGAATTTTATACTCCAGTCGACTGGCGGCAGAAATCATCAATACCTAGAAGCCCCATTTAACACAAAGTCGATTCCCGGAATATAAACGCTACCAAAACAAAAGCAAAAAAAAATTCATCGCCAGTCTAGAATCACGAATATTTCTCAAGGAAATACTGTAACTTCCCGCAATCAAATATACATCGCTTTTCCATCGTGAAACGTGTACTTCCACGTCATGCGAGTGTTTGTAAATGCTTTGCTCGTTCGAGCAGCTCTAACTCTGAAAAGAAATCCCATTTTGCTAAAGCGAAAGGGTCTGTTAAACCTCGCAGTGCCGCGGTAAAACTCGATCGAAGAATCGCGAATTTATGTTCGATGCAGAGAAACGTAAGAAACACGAGCAATGTCGTTTCGCCTATCAACCATAAATATGTTGGAACGACAGGTACTACACAGCCCGTAGCGTTCTTCCGGGAAAATGGTCAACCGAGTACACATAACAACAGACAGGCGTTGTACAATATTGCGCAAAAGTCTAAGACCACCATGGAAAGCTTACATTGCACTTACATAAATCTGTGTTGATCAAATAAATGTGATGTATAGCGGTTATTATGCTCTATATGTACTATACTATAGTATTATATATATAGTAGGTGTAGAAATTAATTCTGTGCCTCTTCAATAAATCATTCATAATTAGACTGCGGATGTTTATGCATTTATGTCAAATGAAAATATGAGAAAATTGATAAGAATATGCACAAATGCAAAAATATACATGCCATGTCATTTAGAGTATAAGATACACTTTCATTTCAATTTCAATTCTTTTTTTGTATTTGTGAAAATATAGATTTGCATAAACATCCACAGTCTATTTATAATTCTAGTTTAAACGGATATACATAGTCGTCATTTTGGTACATTAAAATACCAATCTTCTAAGTCCTCAACCTAATTTTTATTACAATGTATCGATACACATACCTGTACCTTTCAGCCTGATGAGTATTAGACTAACTTTAATAGTCACTACGTCTAGCTTCTTCTTCTTCTTCTACGAGTATCACAGTACACTTGTAATCTATGTATTAAAAAAAGAATAATAAAAAAAATGTTGTGACTACCATACTTTGCGTACACATATACATGCATATGTTGTGATAGTCATCAGATAGTCATCACAATACTTGTATTGTGCAATATGTAAGATCCATACATATTTATTGTAATGGAGACCAGGTCGAGAACTTAGAAGGTTTGTAATCGAACTAACAAAATAATTACTATACGTAATTAATACTTATTTAATCAATTAATGAGTAAATAGCAATTACGATTAAACAAATTTGATTTGAATTTTCGTAAAGTCTTTCTTTCCGACCTCGCACAAACGGAGATAGACCAGAGGGTGGAGAATAAGAGGGAACGAGTAGATTGCAAATATCAGATGTTTATTCTCGAGGTACCCTCTCGATACATGTCGGTTGGTTCGAGTCGATTGTGACTGTGCATGCAGTATAAACAGTATACAGTTGTGGAGCAGGCATTCCTGATATCTGTATCTAATACCTTGGGTAATCATTTTACTTCCAAGAAACAAACTACATTCTTTTCTACCGTGGAGTGTGCTTCCTTGGAGGTCGATCGATTGTTTCAACTACAGTGTACGCAGCAACTGTTTGAAGAAACCATAAAATATTGGGTTAATATTATTAGAAGTTTCTGTTGTGACCATTGGAGAATTACGCGTTGATGTTTCAGCTTCTGTTGCAAAAAATGTCCAGTACCAGTTTAGCACAAGTCGAATACTCAACCTTGTTAACGAACATTTTATTATAACTTTCAACTGACAATTTATCTTCAATAGAATTGTATGATATAATTATAAAATATACTGAGCATTAAAAGCAAGTGAATCAAGTACAATTACCTTCTGGCAATAGAGTTACTGTTATTGCGTCACTGTAATTTATTGTTAAGTGATGAACATTTAATATCGATCAGATAAGAATTATTCTTACTGAATAATTTATCGATTAACCCGAAATGAAACTGTTATTGCATAAATATTTGTTTTACACCAAGTAAAATTCAATTTCAACAATTTAAGTTATACCGGAATGAGTAAACAGAAAATAATTAAGCATCATATAATATCCTGAATTATGATATACTTCAATTTTTAATTGTCATATTTATGCACAGACTTGATCATTCTATATCTTACTTGCAAGCTATTTTTAGTTTGCGAACTGCGAGCGATTCTTCCAAGTTTTAAATTATCTTAAGTGTTTTTCATTCGAATATTGACGAAAACTTTAAATTAAAAACTCAGAATGAGTCCACACTGAGCCAGGAAGAATCCACTTGGGAGACCTCTCTCCCATCCTGATTGAGTGAACTCTTTCTTCGCTCCGTTGGGTAGCGATTGCTGATGGTATCACGCATACCAGAAGCAATATCAAAAGTTCATCAAACAGCATCTGTTTAACAACTAAAAATAGCCAGGAACGATCTATATACAAGCTTTGAATTTTTCGTTTCGACTCTTTGCTTCAGAGACATATTCAAGAACGAAACGTTATAATAGAATCGATGCAAACACGAAAAAATACAGACAAACGCCAGTATAAAGTGCAAAAATTATAGAGTATTTATAACATCAAGATAAGTGTTATGTTGAGATTGGGGGCTCGTAATCACGAAGCTTCTACCGCCAACAGGACTGACTTTTCTTTCGAGTCAATTTACTTTCGTATGTCATGAGTAAACTGCGGATGTTTATGCGCTTATGGCAAATGAAAATATGTAAAAATCAATAATAATGTGCACAGTTACAAAAATATATAAAATATCAAGAAGAATATACGCGCTACATCGTTTAGACGATAGTACATGCTTTCACTTAAATTTCAATTTTTTTTTTATATCTGCGAAAATGTGAATTTGCATAAATATCCGCAGTCTAATCGTGAGCAGTATTCTACGAATATATTAAGGAAATAGCCTTGCAATATTGTGCAAACACAGAAAGATATATTTTATTCGCGCGCTCGAAAACTTTAACTGCTTGTATCTCGATAACGAAGCCTTGGATTGCAAAATGGAAAAGGACTTTTCGTTTCATGTTAAAACGAGAAAGAGATCCTGACTAGTCCAATATTATTAATTAAATCATAAGAGCATCGGTATACATATTTATGACTTTTCTGTTATTTGTAGAAGATAAAGTACACTATATGTATAATTGATTGCGTATGAACACATACAAAGAAGTGAGGTATTTTTTCATACTGCTGTAGTTGGCAACCGTAGCCTCAAACGTGAAATACCATTCACCTCTTGCAAGTAAAATAACATAGAAGGTCCAACTTTTGAAACGTTTCTAACAATGTTTTCTTTTTTCCAGTCGAGCTAATATTTTTCCACAAAATACAACGGTATGTTTCGTTTGCAGGGCCGAGAGGGCGAGAAGGGGCAGAAAGGCGAACTGGGAAGTCCAGGGTTTGACGTCTTTTCTGCAGTAAAGGTATCTAACTACGCTATCTAGCGTGACTGAAAGAGCGCGTCAGCGCACTTTCCTGCCTTGAAATGGCATACGTCCACATACGTGAAGCGAGAACGCATCGTTTTACTCTTGCATCGAGCTCTCTCGTCTGTTTACCGCTCTGTAGAGGCCAATTTCACAAAATTTCACGTCGCGTAAGGTCGCATATACATGCTTGCACGCGACTACAAACTCGAAAATGACAAAAAAAGGAATAGAGAGATGAGCAGGCAGACAAAGAAATAGCAGAGGATAAAACGATACGTTTTCCTGGGCAGAGGAAATATTGTTTATTCGACGTATCGACGGAGACGTGTTTCAAACGAAGAATATTGTTGAATTCTTTGTGATATTTTATAACACGATTGTTCGTGCTGTATGCATCGGAATTTGTAATAAAGAAATTGTTCCTTCATTGTTTGGAATGAAGGTCCTCGGGAAAATTGTTTTTTGGCATTATTGAAAGGGTGTTGGAGTTAGGTGTTTGAATTGGGCCATCTTGAATATTTTGTTTCACAGTAGTATGGAATTATTGTGCGTAGGTTTATTCATAAGTAACTTCCGTTTTATAACATATAATTTATTTCCAAATATATTGTTGCATAATAAATCTTAATCGATTTCATAATCGACATTTAACGAGCAAATTAAAAATTTCTTTCAATGGGATTATTATTTATGAATGAAACCAATATTTGAATTTACTACACTTGAAGTAAGAAAATAGTAGAATTTTTTAAAATAAGGAAACAAATGTCTAAAATGGTTCAAGTTAGACGATCTCCTACTATTATAAAAAATTGAGCGTTGATAGGAGTGTAACTTTTAATCCATCAGAGAGAAAACATGACTTAGAAATAATGCATTATATTCGCATAAAAATCAAAAACAAAATTAAATTTTGGTTTGGAAAATATATTGCCATGAAATGACACTGAATAGCGCCAAACAACAATTGCGCTCATTAAAAGAGAAAAGTATCTTTACTATGTATAGATGTAATTAATTCAGCTTTATAACAGTAAATTATATCTTCTAGCATCTTATTTTTATCATTTATAGAAGCAATGAATTCCAAACGAACAAAAAGGAACGCATACTAAATGTAAGTTACGTTGTGATAGATAATAAATTGAAATCTTTTATCGTGTTCTTCGATTGAAGCAGCGTTTTACCTATGTGTGTGTGTAATTAAAGAAACAACAATGACGAGTTTTGTATAAAATTTTGCCCGCAGGCTTTCGATGTTTCTCGTTAGCTCGTTAGACGATCTAACGTTTGATATTGGTTCGCGCCGCGGGTGACGAACAAGCGGTCTGTCGAGATAGCACTAATTGCGATAAATCATTGCAGATAAATATGCATACCGTGCATCTGGGGAACCAAAGCCGCATTTTCGACCTAGAGAATTAACTATGCTTGGAACTGAATGCCAAGAATATCAAGATCATTGATTGTCGTTGACGATCCCTACGCGATGGTTGAATTCAATCGATTAGAAGTGTCTTTCACTTTACAAACCTGTAGACGTACGAATTAAAAGTTACGGCAGTACTAATGGTTAGAGTAATCTATAAATCTGAGGTAGTTTTTCTTAAGCTTGAGTTACCTAGCTCATTACTTGGACTACACATCGGGAAAGAAATATGGTGGACCTTCGAAAGTAAAATTAAATTCTTATCTTTGCGATATAATTCAAAATTGTCTTAATAATTTTTATTCGATTAAAATACATTCATATTTTGTAACTTACTGTTTTTCTAAATAGAATACATGAATTTATACGTGGATTACGTGGATATAGTTAGAAGATTAATGTGGACCTATTTGGAATTGATCTGAAACTGTATGGTAATAAAGTTTGTTTTTATTGGGTAGTGTTTAAAAAATCTTACTGATTTGATTTGGATAACTTCATTTTTGAAGAATTGTTTTATTTTTAAATTGAATAATTTAGTGCTTACCTTGTGTGGTCGTACAATTTTGTTTGAAACTTTAATTATCGCACACATGAAAGTTCTCAGATGAATAAGGGTATGGATTTTGTGACACGATTATTTTTTTTTTAAATTATATGAAAACTGATATAAAAAATTCTTTTTTCAAATTCAACTTCATCGTCACTATTTAATTCACCATCGAAAACTATACATAAGAATACGTATTTACAAAATTTTATCTGGGAAATGACTAGTAGTTGATCCTCGCACGATCGATCTCCCTTAAACAGTAACAATCAACGACAATCAATTAATAATATTAGTTACATCGAACGAAAAATACAATTTACAACAAATAAAGAGAAACCCGACATGCCAGCGGCTCGCAAACTTCTTATACAAAAACCACTGAAAAATCATAGCAAATTTACGAATTTGGCGAACGTCGCGATTACGCTCGTCGACCGCGAGCGCAACCAGTTAATAACGTAAATCCGTCGCAAGATGGACGAGCGTTCTTATACGGATTCTTGATAGCCAACGCGTAGGTGTAATGTGTATTTTTTCTCGACGACGTATCGATCCTCGATGATGCAGATTAACAATATAAACCATCTTTTCGCCTACGGGTCAATGCACAGGGATTAGGGTTAAAGAGGTCGGTGACGACGCTCCGCGGCGGGACGCTCGGCTATGCGGAAATCGTCGCTCTGAAGGTAACCGGCCTCTTCGGAAGGCAACACGGCTCGTGTTGCGGTTCAGAAATCTCTTCTCGTCGTCGCTGCTCCTGCTTCTTCTTCTACCCCTTCTTATTTTTCCTCTATCTCTTCGTCGTCTTCATCTTCTTCTTCCGTTGCCGCTTATCCCCTCACCGTTCCTTTGCCAACCCGTTGTCGGGCTTTCTCCTTTGATCTCCGGCGTCCAGTAGCGTTCCCGCCGCTCCACACTTTGTTTCCATGTTCCTAGTTCTATCTCCGGCGAGTTTTCTCTCCGCACTCCTAGACGCAGTCCTATTTCTAGTCGTTGCCTCGTACGGTGCTTTCGGTGTAGCGTTCTCGTTCGTTCAAAGCGCGACGACACCGTGCTTCGGCGTGGAAAACGCCCCCGTTGTCTCCTAGTTTCGTTAGCCGAATTAACGTTGGACGTTTCACACCCAGGGGAAAGTTTGTTTGAATCCTAGCATGGTTTTGGGGCGAACTTTAGGGGAGTAGATGAGCAATGTTGGATGGAAGATATTTGTTTAATGGAATAGCTCTTTTATTTTACAGTAGAATTAGTATACGGTGACGACAATATTATACACGCACATTTTATTTTATTGTATGGAATAATATACAGTAAAAATAGTACACATGTACAATTTGTTTTAAAGTAATAGATAGTGTACCTATACATTTTATTTTATGGTAATAAATATATCGTGACGATAATATACGTGTACATTGTATTTTATAGTAGAAAAATAATATACAGTAACGACAATCTACACATACATTTTACTTTACAGTGAATTATAATGTACAGTAACAATAGTATACATGTTCCTTTTATTGTACAGTGAACAAAAATATATCGTAACGATAATGTACGTATACATTGTACTTTATAGTACAAAAATAATATACAGTAACAAGAATCTACACATACATTTTACATTACAGTGAGCAAAAGTGTATAATAACAATAATATGCACGTGCATTTTATTGTGCAGTAAAACATAATATACAGTAACGACAATCTACACATACATTTTACTTTACAGGGAATTATAATATACAGTAACAATAGTATACATGTTCCTTTTATTGTACAGTGAACAAAAATATATCGTAACGATAATATACGTATATATTGTATTTTATAGTACAAAATTATATACAGTGACGATAATATACACGTATACATATACACATATACAACGATAATATACATAATATACACATGCATTTAATTTGACAAAAAATCAAATATCGAACACACAAGTGTAACAAATAAATACAATAAAACGCCGATTGAGAAAAGAATACTAAATTGAATACTGAATCTCAAAATTGATGCACAGGATATCAAACAACATTTTCTTGTGTGCGAACTGAAATGCCAGTTAATTGTTTAAAAATATTTGACAACGAGGAACCTATCACACCGAAGTGATGTCGTCGCGCTCTGTCGTATTTGGTTTTTGGTTGGTAATGGTATTTACTTTAAGTTACAGTATTTAGGTATATCTCTGGGCATGCCTTGGATTCGGAAGAGCAATGAAAAACGAGATAACCCCAAAACGATCCACTTTAGGTTTCCACCCCCCGAAAACCCACCCACCCACGTTACCCTTATGTTTTGGTCCGGTAGCGATTTGGTTTTTACCCGTAGTGTTGACCTACTTCTAGGGACTTCAGGAGCAAGGGCATAATATCTCAGCGCAGACCATCATACAACTGAAAGTAAGTGCGCCTGCTCTTTGGGAGCCCCTCCTCTCTCCTTTTTCGTTTCCTTATCATCGATTCCCCAGGCATTCGATTTGGTATTCTACTCGCGGGCCAGGTATTTGTTAAATCGCCGCTCTTTTGATGCGACAGTGTGCTCAATCGATCAGTGCCAATTTCACGGGACAATAAATCCCGTTCTATCCACCTGCATTTGACGCAGATACGATCTCCGATTTGTACTATCGACGGCTATTAACCGAACCCACGTCGAGGAACTTTAATATTCGGACGCTACGCGATCTTCGTTTTGTCAGTTGTAACATATTTTTATTTAATAGAATAATTTCTCAGTAACCTCTTGAGGAACGACTTTTAATAGACGCTGATATAAAGATATTTTTCAAATAATTTTAATCTTTTTACACGATGACGTACATACGTACGTTTTAATTATATGTTACTCATAACCAACAATTTATATTGTTGTCTGTTGACAGCACCATCAACTTGAAGTATCAATGTAATTGCCTTGGAAGTTGTCTGCAGAAAAAAGATTGTTCTATAGAGAGTCAATTAAATGGATTTTTGTTTGCTCTAATCGAATACAAAAAGAAATTTTTATTTGTAAATCCATTTTAATATACAAATATGCTGTTTCTGTTTAATATGGTTCATTTTCTTTCACTCTAAGAGGTATTGCAATCGTAACTACTAGTAATTTCAATATAAATGCAACCGCACACATATGTGCGCGTGGTCTCTCAAGAGGTTAAAAGCATTTCACTTAATAAATTAAATAAATTTTCAAATTTTAATTGAATGATGAAAACATTTTTAAAATAAAAATTTTCAATTATATAATTTCTTTATCGTTAAATCATTTTATTTGCTAAATAAAATAAATCTCCAACTGTTAAAAATGTTTCTTCTTAAATACATAATTACTTTTACGAATTATTTCACGAGTAGAAGCGATTTTTTGGAGTTCTTATAAAATTACACACGAAACAGTCTGATTTAACAAATTTATGTGATTATTATAATTATAATCACATAATATTATAATTATAGTTAACCTGAAGCTTATAAAAGCTTTTGAACAGTTCCATAGTGCAGGAGTTATTGATGTTGAAATTAACTTGTTGTTATAACTTATTATTAAATTATTAAATATGTATTTGTTATAATTATTATTAACTTACTATTAAAGTTCACAAAATGTGAACTATTAGACATCGTTTTCTTAGAAATTTATTGTACAAGAAATGTTAACTAAACGCATAAACTTTACACTTTTGTTAAGTAAATCTCGTTAAATATACGTCTACTAGTTACATACCAACTACTTCCATCGCAGAGAGAGTTAAAAGCGACAAAGTGAAACCTGCAAAGTGTCAAAGCGTCAAAGTGTCCGAAAATTAAACTCACTCACCGTGTACTAAAATTCGTCGAGATAGTATTTTTCGAGCATTCTCGGTCATTTAACATTCGTAATTTCAACAGTTTACCTAAGATAAACCCTAGAGATGAACAAGCGGGACAGTTCTGCTACTCCAATTTTAAACGCAAACGCGAATCAATTTTGAATTGAAGATTCTTTTGCTTGGGGAATCGACGACGCGTGAAAGAAGTCTCGAGAAACGCTCTTATTAGAGGGATTTAGAAAATGGAGCGTGTCGAGCCTTCTTTTTAGACCTTTCTTAACGAAACATCTATTTACCTAGCACCTTCTTATTTTACGATTTCATGCCAAGTATCGTTTCACTCTATTATACCCGTTTCCTCAGGGCCGTGCAGTAACTTTGGAACAGTCTCTATAATTCTGTAACCTTTTCTCTTTCTTTTTCGCATCAGAACTGTTTAAGAGGCATACAGTAACAGAATCGAAAATTTCAGAACAGGAAAGTAACAGTAATCGAAAGCTTCTTGCTTCGATACGTTTTCGTTTCAATTTTATCGTAGTTAAATGGATGAATCCTGTCTAAGAGGCGTCACCTCCGTTCGATGCCTTTTAGACGCCGACCAATCCCAAAGGCGATCGCTCTTGTATACCCTCCGAGCTAGAAGTTGTTCCATGAAATGGCAGGGACAACCACGCGTCTCTTACAGAGTTCTCGCGCCTCTCAGACAGGATTCGCCTGAGTTACCATGTTAAAGCACGATGTGTGTTCGACAACAGACGAAACAAATGCGAAGAAACATCCTGGAGACGTGAAAAACGAAGCACGACCCTGTTTTTCTCTGCATGCTAGTTTATCTCCAAGCAGCTCACGCGAAATCGAACGCACCTGTATGAACAAAGGTGCTCTCGCATGTGCGTGTACTGCATGTTACTCGTTCCACCGTTTTTTGGATATGTGATCTTTTGGAAGCGTAGAACGATGTAGCATAGCGAGCTGGAAAGGAAATTAGCGAAAAGAATTCGGGTCGGATTCCCAACAGGAGGTTAATCACTCCTCTACGCATGCGCATCTTTAGCATATTATTGGCCGAAATTGTGGTATTTAAAGACTTAATCTAAATATCTAATCAGAGTCACGGAATAACGTTGTCTATTTCTAATTAATCGCCGCCATTTTTCAGCCAAGTAATAAATATATTCATACGTTTGTCACACGTCACAAGTGTTTACAGTACAAGTACAACCTGCACCTATGGCGTTGTAGATTGGTAAAAGGTTGTGAAATTCTGCATTATGTCTCAACTCGTAAAATAAAGTCTCAAGGCAGATTCTTATATCGTATTATACTTCTTACTATATTTTTTTAAATATCCTTTTTTAATCATGTTTTTCAAGAGTGCTTTTTACGAACTATTTCTTTTCCGCAAACTTTTACCGATCGTGGACAAAATATTTAGGAAGCGAAGGTAAACAATATTTATTCGTCAGAAGAATGACCCGGACTTCAGCGTACGAAAGTTAAAACACTATGATTTTCAAATTTTTCGCAGAATTAGCTGAAAAATGACGGAGCCTAACTTTGACATTATTTCGTGACTTTCATTAGAGAGTTTCTAGTTGTATCTAATTAACGAAGACGAGAAACGCATGAAATAAAAGACTAAATAGGGACCAGTAGAAGGGCTACGAAATCGTCAAAGGTGAGGATCGTGCGGAGACAAAGGCTGCTAGCCTTCTTTTCAGCTCGCTATGGTACAACCCGCGACTCTTGATTAAACGCATTCAATCTTTTACTATATTATTTTCTACTTATTCTGAAATTAATACTATATTTCTAAAGTAATAGGCCCTATTTAGATATTTTGATTAATCTCTTATTTAATCTGAAGATATTCTTTATGCTAAAGGATACACATCAGCTTGCATCATTTGAATAAACGCATAGTAAATAAAACGTAAAAACAAAACAACAACGTATAATGGAATTACTGTAGTGTAATGGAAATACTTTATTAATACTTTGTACATCTACCTGTTTAAATATCTTTCTTCTTTTGAAATTTCAATTTTTCCTATTTCTTCAAAATTCAGTTGCACTAATCGACCTATTTTTTCGTTTTATAAGCTAATTGCTATTGACACTGTTTACCACACGAATTTCTCTGTCTTACACAAGTTACTAATCATCATAGTAATAATAGAAAAGCAAGGCTTATTGTTAGTTACAGAGTGAACAATAAGAGTACGATTACTCAAGTGACGCAAACTGATTTGAATCTTTTTAATGAATAATTACTATTTTTTTTTACCAAATAACGGAATATTCAAGACAACTGCGTATACTTTCATTAAATGGGATCTATTGTTTTACAAAACTAGAATTAATTAATTTGAGAGCAAGTAGAGTATAGTATAAGAAAAATATTATTTCGTTTAACCAAGTGTCGCTGAATATATGTGTTACGTGTTTTCGATAGAAGAATGCGCAACCGAGTCTTTTGCGTAGATGTGCAAGTAGGTTTATGCGTATGTTGACGTGTACACACGCACGTACACACACATCTTTTCACTTCAAACAGGGACGGTAATTTAAATCCACCATCTCGCGGTACGCGAAACTTTTGTAATTACCAGCGATTTACGTAATTAATGTAATCGTGTTTTGATTCGCGATTAAAGTTAATTGTGTACGGAGCTGTTAAATTTGATGTTGCTTATTAGCTTTTATTTATCAGTCGATGTGATATTCGACGTTTCAAGTGTGGCCACTTGAAGCCTGTACTTAGGCATCGATGAAGGTAGTAAAACGAATTCGTATTTCGTGTATTATCCAGACCTGGGCACTTTTGAAATAACATTATTTTAAACATTATGTCAAATAACACATTACTATATTTTATTATTATTATTTGAGATAATTGTTTGGAATAATTGTGAAATTGTTCTTCAAAATTATATCGGATGATATTGCATCATTTTGAGGATTATTTCTGTCGTTAAAATTGAAATACAATAATAACGAAATAATTCGTTGAATTGATGTTTTTTTATTTTCCTTTCAGTTGAAATTTCACCAGGTCTGATATTATCGAATGATGCTTTTTATAGAAGGCGGTGGTGATCCTGTAAACTTTCGACGAATTACCTATACTTCAGTTCGTGATATTAGCATATCTATAATCGTGATTATGGAATATAAATGAATACACTTTCACCATATTACAGCACAAACTTGCACTACTTGCAGTTGTTACCTGACATGTGCACATCGCTCTGAAAACTCAAAACTGTGCGTGGAAACTACCTTCGTACACTATTATTGTGAAAGTATAATAAAGAAGTATTCCCTTTCTACCAATCGCAATAGTAACTAAATCTAAATAAAAAAATAACGTGCTCTCATTATTATTTTTTTCATTGTACAAATGAGTAAACGTATATTGAATAATTAACAAATCTATTTTAAAAACACCCTGTACAGAGAATCAAATGTTTTGCTTTCGGAGAAACTATTAGGTCTATTTAATTATATTCGTTTAGTGCAGTCATAAAATTGGGGATATAAACATAAAATTGAGATTTTTAATTTAAAATTAAGAATTTTAATGGGAAGTTATGAATTTTAACATTTACAGTGAGTGTAATAAGTATTCGTACAGCAATCAATTTAAAATAAATTATTCCTGTACGAATACTTATTACACTGACTGTATGTACATTATAATGTTTTCATCAGAGGAATAAATTGTTGCGCAGTCCTTTAAAAAATAAAGGAGAAATTCATGTTGTTCTGGTGCTTTTATCAATCTTTTTTATTTACGTATACAACGTAATTTTTCTAGCTGAAGCAACAAAGAATTTATTGAGAAGTTTCCTTGTATCTCCAACAATTTTTAAGATAACATAAGGGGATGAAACATCGAAGGGGAGTTTGAACTCTTAAACTTGAGTTACCGAGATAAAAGAAAACACGTGTCCTTTATTTTTGGCAACCCTCCAAGCTTGCAAAGTTTCCTCAAAATCTGGTGATGAGGGTCCACACAGATGTTCCTTCTGTCAGACCTCTTGCTAAAGTTAAAAATAAAGGTCTAAATCAAAGCTGTTTCAATAAAATAACACACCGCAAAGCTAATTCTTTTTACATTTGTTCTTTAAATTATTCGTTAACAAACTTTATAATATTGCATGATTTTAACCATTCCAATTTCACATTAAAATTACTAATTTTACATTAAACACAAATTGAACAAAATTTAATTTAACGAATTTTAGGAGAATTTTCTATTAATGATGCATTTCTACATTCATTTGGTTTCCATCATTTCATTTTATTTTAACTTTATAATATTGCACAAATTTAATAATTTCAATTGCACATTAAAATTACTAATCTTATATTAAATATATATTGGACAAAATTCAATTTAGTGAATTTGATACATCGATTTGGTTTCCTTCATTAATAACAATAATTATTCTTTATTTTACTTCTATAAAGCCAAACAATTTATACACAATTAATACAAAGTTTTGAATAAGAATAAATGGAAATCATTATTATACTCCAATTGAACTTTGCCTTATAATTGAAGATAATTGGAGGTTTATCGTAATTTAAATACCTGATTTGATAAAATAATCAAGCGATGACGATCGTTGTTGTTAAACGCTTATGCCCAATCACGAGTGAAATAGTTTGGAGTTCTCAATTTACCTACAAAATTTCATTAAAATTCAGATATTGCATTTCGTGTGGTTGCCTTGACGAGTGCTTAGTGTGGCCTACGATCGAAGTTATACACTTTGAGGTCGAGACTCGACAGAATCTAATTGCAGAAGTCTGTTCTGAACAACTGACGCATGTGGAATTAGCGCTGCAACCATAACAGACAGCTTTATCCAGCTCACAGTAGAGTTTTCTTTTATCGAGGCAACGCAAAATCACACGTGGCGAAACGAACTGCTGAACTGTAGGATTGGTAAATGATAATTCACCTGATATGCTTTTCCTAATTTAAATGAGCTCAAACATGACCTTTTTCGATTTGCTATTAATTATATGCAATTGAGAGTGTTTCAAAGGTGAGTCGAATAATCTATAATTAAATGTAGTTCGAATTAGATTATGTTTGAACTTGTTTCCTTTAGAAATAGTTCGCAAAATCATAGATAATACATATTCTGATTATGGTATATTGAGAAATAGGGACAAAATCGGTAACCATACTTATTAAAGGTCTGCGAATTAGAATCGCTTCTGTGATCTTTATCGAGGTGTTTATCCTGTATCAAAAATGGATACAATAATCCGTCCAGCGCACTAATATTCTAAAGGGTTTTTTTAAAAAGAGCTTTAGGGTTTTGTTTTTTAATAACAATAATACGTCTGTCAGGGTAATCGTGGTATGCACTTAAACACCATCTTCCAGATTTGTATATAATTATATCTATTTTCATTTAAAATACAATAAAATAGCATTTAAACACCAGCTTACGTATTTATATACATATTTTAAAAAAAACATAGTCGACCTTCATATCTCCCTTACGCTTTCACCGATAAAAAAGTTATTGGCACCACGTTACGTGCCCCTCGATATTTAACAACTCTTCTTCGATACTTTTTTTTCTATCGCTAAAAGGGCGCGAATCCCTGTTTTAAATGACTTACCTTGTTTTATAATGACTTTATTTGGAAACATCAAACCAATGTTTTAGTTTACACAAATTTTTTCAATAGATATGAGGGGTACGAATACTTGTGAAACTTATATGTACTTTCATTGCACAGAAATAAACAAAAACCTAAACACCGTCTGTTACGTTTAATTAAAATCATATATTCGTTTAATTAAAATACATTAAAAGACCATTTAAATACCATCTCTCACATTTAATTATATTACATGCACTTGCATTTTAAATAAAATAACCAAGCATATTGCGTTATTAAAAAGTATCCCCTAGCTCCTTTTGGAAAACTCTTTTATTACGTAAGCATTGAACGTTGAAACTTTATCAAACACCCGATCAATATCATACCCTGACACTCAAATGTCACAATTTGCGACTACGTTTTCCACCCCTCCTAACCAGACACGTTTTGCATAATTATTGCAGAGTACTTGTCAAACACACAACACACCGATGCTTTCGTTTCCACGCACAGTTTTTCCGCGTGCTTTTTCTTCGCCTCTGTCCGCAATCTTCTTCCACCTGTTTACCATTTTTCTCTGAACCGACAGCTCTCTCTCTCTCTCTCTCTCTCTCTCTCTCTCTCTCTCTCTCTCTC